CCAAAAATTTCAAATTTTTCCAGTGGAAAATAACAACATGAAAAATCTTGGAAATCAATTTACAATAACTGAATTAATTGAAAATACAGTCTCACACATTTCAGAGTTTTCCTGGAAAACTAGTAAAGGGAAAAATTTAAAACTTTTTGTATGTGAAGAGGAAGGTTAGAAGCTCATTTTCCCAAAATTTCAAATTTTTCCAGCTGAAAATAACAACATGAAGAATCTTGGAAACACTCACATATTTCAGAGTTTTCCTGGAAAACTAGTAAAGGAAAAATTTTGAAAGTTTTTGTATGTGAAGAGGAAGGTTAGGAGCACATTTTCCAAAATTTCAAATTTTTACAGTGGAAAATAACAATATGAAGAATCTTGGAAAGCAACCTACAAAAATTGAATTAATTGAAAATACAGTCTCACACATTTCAGAGTTTTCCTGGAAAACTAGAAAAGAGAAAAATTTGAAATTTTTTGCGTGTAAAGAGGAAGGTTAGGAGCTCATTTTCCCAAAATTTCAAATTTTTCCAGTGGAAAATAACAACATGAAAAATCTTGAAAATCAACCTACAATAACTGAATTAATTGAAAATACAGTTTCACACATTTCAGAGTATTCCTGGAAAACTAGTGAAGGAAAAATTTTGAAACTTTTTGTATGTGAAGAGGAAGGTTAGGAGCTCATTTTCCCAAAATTTCAAATTTTTCCAGCTGAAAATAACAACATGAAGAATCTTGGAAACACTCACACATTTCAGAGTTTTCTTGGAAAACTAGTAAAGGGAAAATTTTGAAAGTTTTTGTATGTGAAGAGGAAAGTTAGGAGCGCATTTTTTCAAAATTTCAAATTTTTACAGTGGAAAATAACAATATGAAGAATCTTGGAAAGCAACCTACAAAAATTGAATTAATTGAAAATATAGTCTCACACATTTCAGAGTTTTCCTGGAAAACTAGAAAAGGGAAAAATTTGAAATTTTTTGCGTATAAAGAGGAAGGTTAGGAGCTCATTTTCCCAAAATTTCAAATTTTTCCAGTGGAAAATAACAATATGAAAAATCTTGAAAATCAACCTACAATAACTGAATTAATTGAAAATACAGTTTCACACATTTCAGAGTATTCCTGGAAAACTAGTGAAGGAAAAATTTTGAAACTTTTTGTATGTAAAGAGGAAGGTAAGAAGATCATTTTCACGTAATTTCAAATTTTTTCAGGGGAAAATAACAACATGAAGAATCTTGGAAATCAACCTACAATAACTGAATTAATTGAAAATACAGTCTCAGACATTTCAGAGTTTCCTGGAAAACTAGTAAAAGGAAAAATTTGAAACTTTTTGTATGTGAAGAGGAAGGTTAGTAGCTCATTTTCCCAAAATTGCAAATTTTTCCAGCGGAAAATAACAACATGGAGAATCTTGGAAATCAACCTACAATAACTGAATTAATTGAAAATACAGTCTCACACATTTCAGAGTTTTCTTGGAAAACTAGTAGAGGGAAAAATTTGAAAGTTTTTGCATGTAAAGAGGAAGGTTAGGAGCTCATTTTCCCAAAATTTCAAATTTTTCCAGCTGAAAATAACAACATGAAGAATCTTGGAAACACTCACACATTTCAGAGTTTTCTTGGAAAACTAGTAAAGGGAAAATTTTGAAAGTTTTTGTATGTGAAGAGGAAGGTTAGGAGTGCATTTTTTCAAAATTTCAAATTTTCACAGTGGAAAATAACAATATGAAGAATCTTGGAAAGCAACCTACAAAAATTGAATTAATTGAAAATATAGTCTCACACATTTCAGAGTTTTCCTGGAAAACTAGAAAAGGGAAAAATTTGAAATTTTTTGCGTATAAAGAGGAAGGTTAGGAGCTCATTTTCCTAAAATTTCAAATTTTTCCAGTGGAAAATAACAATATGAAAAATCTTGGAAATCAACCTACAATAACTGAATAAATTGAAAATACAGTCTCACACATTTCAGAGTTTCCTGGAAAACTAGTAAAAGGAAAAATTTGAAACTTTTTGTATGTGAAGAGGAAGGTTAGGAGCTCATTTTCTCAAAATTGCAAATTTTTCCAGCGGAAAATAACAACATGGAGAATCTTGGAAATCAACCTACAATAACTGAATTAATTGAAAATACAGTCTCACACATTTCAGAGTTTTCCAGGAAAACTAGTAGAGGAAAAAATTTGAAAGTTTTTGCATGTAAAGAGGAAGGTTAGGAGCTCATTTTCCCAAAATTTCAAATTTTTCCAGCTGAAAATAACAACATGAAGAATCTTGGAAACACTCACACATTTCAGAGTTTTCTTGGAAAACTAGTAAAGGGAAAATTTTGAAAGTTTTTGTATGTGAAGAGGAAGGTTAGGAGCGCATTTTTTCAAAATTTCAAATTTTTACAGTGGAAAATAACAATATGAAGAATCTTGGAAAGCAACCTACAAAAATTGAATTAATTGAAAATATAGTCTCACACATTTCAGAGTTTTCCTGGAAAACTAGAAAAGGGAAAAATTTGAAATTTTTTGCGTATAAAGAGGAAGGTTAGGAGCTTATTTTCCCAAAATTTCAAATTTTGCCAGTGGAAAATAACAACATGGAGAATCTTGGAGATCAACCTACAATAACTGAATTAATTGAAAATACAGTCTCACACATTTCAGAGTTTTCTTGGAAAACTAGTAGAGGGAAAAATTTGAAAGTTTTTGCATGTAAAGAAGAAGGATAGGAGCTCATTTTCCCAAAATTTCAAATTTTTCCAGCTGAAAATAACAACATGAAGAATCTTGGAAACACTCACACATTTCAGAGTTTTCTTGGAAAACTAGTAAAGGGAAAATTTTGAAAGTTTTTGTATGTGAAGAGGAAGGTTAGGAGCGCATTTTTTCAAAATTTCAAATTTTTACAGTGGAAAATAACAATATGAAGAATCTTGGAAAGCAACCTACAAAAATTGAATTAATTGAAAATATAGTCTCACACATTTCAGAGTTTTCCTGGAAAACTAGAAAAGGGAAAAATTTGAAATTTTTTGCGTATAAAGAGGAAGGTTAGGAGCTCATTTTCCCAAAATTTCAAATTTTTCCAGTGGAAAATAACAATATGAAAAATCTTGAAAATCAACCTACAATAACTGAATTAATTGAAAATACAGTTTCACACATTTCAGAGTATTCCTGGAAAACTAGTGAATGAAAAATTTTGAAACTTTTTGTATGTAAAGAGGAAGGTAAGAAGATCATTTTCACGTAATTTCAAATTTTTTTAGGGGAAAATAACAACATGAAGAATCTTGGAAATCAACCTAGAATAACTGAATTAATTGAAAATACAGTCTCACACATTTCAGAGTTTCCTGGAAAACTAGTAAAAGGAAAAATTTGAAATTTTTTGCGTATAAAGAGGAAGGTTAGGAGCTCATTTTCCCAAAATTTCAAATTTTTCCAGTGGAAAATAACAATATGAAAAATCTTGAAAATCAACCTACAATAACTGAATTAATTGAAAATACAGTCTCACACATTTCAGAGTATTCCTGGAAAACTAGTGAAGGAAAAATTTTGAAACTTTTTGTATGTGAAGAGGAAGGTTAGGAGCTCATTTTCCCAAAATTGCAAATTTTTCCAGCGCAAAATAACAACATGGAGAATCTTGGAGATCAACCTACAATAACTGAATTAATTGAAAATACAGTCTCACACATTTCAGAGTTTTCTTGGAAAACTAGTAGAGGGAAAAATTTGAAAGTTTTTGCATGTAAAGAAGAAGGATAGGAGCTCATTTTCCCAAAATTTCAAATTTTTCCAGCTGAAAATAACAACATGAAGAATCTTGGAAACACTCACACATTTCAGAGTTTTCTTGGAAAACTAGTAAAGGGAAAATTTTGAAAGTTTTTGTATGTGAAGAGGAAGGTTAGGAGCGCATTTTTTCAAAATTTCAAATTTTTACAGTGGAAAATAACAATATGAAGAATCTTGGAAAGCAACCTACAAAAATTGAATTAATTGAAAATATAGTCTCACACATTTCAGAGTTTTCCTGGAAAACTAGAAAAGGGAAAAATTTGAAATTTTTTGCGTATAAAGAGGAAGGTTAGGAGCTCATTTTCCCAAAATTTCAAATTTTTCCAGTGGAAAATAACAATATGAAAAATCTTGAAAATCAACCTACAATAACTGAATTAATTGAAAATACAGTTTCACACATTTCAGAGTATTCCTGGAAAACTAGTGAATGAAAAATTTTGAAACTTTTTGTATGTAAAGAGGAAGGTAAGAAGATCATTTTCACGTAATTTCAAATTTTTTTAGGGGAAAATAACAACATGAAGAATCTTGGAAATCAACCTAGAATAACTGAATTAATTGAAAATACAGTCTCACACATTTCAGAGTTTCCTGGAAAACTAGTAAAAGGAAAAATTTGAAACTTTTTGTATGTAAAGAAGAAGGATAGGAGCTCATTTTCCCAAAATTTCAAATTTTTCCAGCTGAAAATAACAACATGAAGAATCTTGGAAACACTCACACATTTCAGAGTTTTCTTGGAAAACTAGTAAAGGGAAAATTTTGAAAGTTTTTGTATGTGAAGAGGAAGGTTAGGAGCGCATTTTTTCAAAATTTCAAATTTTTACAGTGGAAAATAACAATATGAAGAATCTTGGAAAGCAACCTACAAAAATTGAATTAATTGAAAATATAGTCTCACACATTTCAGAGTTTTCCTGGAAAACTAGAAAAGGGAAAAATTTGAAATTTTTTGCGTATAAAGAGGAAGGTTAGGAGCTCATTTTCCCAAAATTTCAAATTTTTCCAGTGGAAAATAACAATATGAAAAATCTTGAAAATCAACCTACAATAACTGAATTAATTGAAAATACAGTTTCACACATTTCAGAGTATTCCTGGAAAACTAGTGAATGAAAAATTTTGAAACTTTTTGTATGTAAAGAGGAAGGTAAGAAGATCATTTTCACGTAATTTCAAATTTTTTTAGGGGAAAATAACAACATGAAGAATCTTGGAAATCAACCTAGAATAACTGAATTAATTGAAAATACAGTCTCACACATTTCAGAGTATTCCTGGAAAACTAGTGAAGGAAAAATTTTGAAACTTTTTGTATGTGAAGAGGAAGGTTAGGAGCTCATTTTCCCAAAATTGCAAATTTTTCCAGCGCAAAATAACAACATGGAGAATCTTGGAGATCAACCTACAATAACTGAATTAATTGAAAATACAGTCTCACACATTTCAGAGTTTTCTTGGAAAACTAGTAGAGGGAAAAATTTGAAAGTTTTTGCATGTAAAGAAGAAGGATAGGAGCTCATTTTCCCAAAATTTCAAATTTTTCCAGCTGAAAATAACAACATGAAGAATCTTGGAAACACTCACACATTTCAGAGTTTTCTTGGAAAACTAGTAAAGGGAAAATTTTGAAAGTTTTTGTATGTGAAGAGGAAGGTTAGGAGCGCATTTTTTCAAAATTTCAAATTTTTACAGTGGAAAATAACAATATGAAGAATCTTGGAAAGCAACCTACAAAAATTGAATTAATTGAAAATATAGTCTCACACATTTCAGAGTTTTCCTGGAAAACTAGAAAAGGGAAAAATTTGAAATTTTTTGCGTATAAAGAGGAAGGTTAGGAGCTCATTTTCCCAAAATTTCAAATTTTTCCAGTGGAAAATAACAATATGAAAAATCTTGAAAATCAACCTACAATAACTGAATTAATTGAAAATACAGTTTCACACATTTCAGAGTATTCCTGGAAAACTAGTGAATGAAAAATTTTGAAACTTTTTGTATGTAAAGAGGAAGGTAAGAAGATCATTTTCACGTAATTTCAAATTTTTTTAGGGGAAAATAACAACATGAAGAATCTTGGAAATCAACCTAGAATAACTGAATTAATTGAAAATACAGTCTCACACATTTCAGAGTTTCCTGGAAAACTAGTAAAAGGAAAAATTTGAAACTTTTTGTATGTGAAGAGGAAGGTTAGGAGCTCATTTTCTCAAAATTGCAAATTTTTCCAGCGGAAAATAACAACATGGAGAATCTTGGAAATCAACCTACAATAACTGAATTAATTGAAAATACAGTCTCACACATTTCAGAGTTTTCCAGGAAAACTAGTAGAGGAAAAAATTTGAAAGTTTTTGCATGTAAAGAGGAAGGTTAGGAGCTCATTTTCCCAAAATTTCAAATTTTTCCAGCTGAAAATAACAACATGAAGAATCTTGGAAACACTCACACATTTCAGAGTTTTCTTGGAAAACTAGTAAAGGGAAAATTTTGAAAGTTTTTGTATGTGAAGAGGAAGGTTAGGAGCGCATTTTTTCAAAATTTCAAATTTTTACAGTGGAAAATAACAATATGAAGAATCTTGGAAAGCAACCTACAAAAATTGAATTAATTGAAAATATAGTCTCACACATTTCAGAGTTTTCCTGGAAAACTAGAAAAGGGAAAAATTTGAAATTTTTTGCGTATAAAGAGGAAGGTTAGGAGCTCATTTTCCCAAAATTTCAAATTTTGCCAGTGGAAAATAACAATATGAAAAATCTTGAAAATCAACCTACAATAACTGAATTAATTGAAAATACAGTTTCACACATTTCAGAGTATTCCTGGAAAACTAGTGAAGGAAAAATTTTGAAACTTTTTGTATGTGAAGAGGAAGGTTAGGAGCTCATTTTCCCAAAATTGCAAATTTTTCCAGCGGAAAATAACAACATGGAGAATCTTGGAGATCAACCTACAATAACTGAATTAATTGAAAATACAGTCTCACACATTTCAGAGTTTTCTTGGAAAACTAGTAGAGGGAAAAATTTGAAAGTTTTTGCATGTAAAGAAGAAGGTTAGGAGCTCATTTTCCCAAAATTTCAAATTTTTCCAGCTGAAAATAACAACATGAAGAATCTTGGAAACACTCACACATTTCAGAGTTTTCTTGGAAAACTAGTAAAGGGAAAATTTTGAAAGTTTTTGTATGTGAAGAGGAAGGTTAGGAGCGCATTTTTTCAAAATTTCAAATTTTTACAGTGGAAAATAACAATATGAAGAATCTTGGAAAGCAACCTACAAAAATTGAATTAATTGAAAATATAGTCTCACACATTTCAGAGTTTTCCTGGAAAACTAGAAAAGGGAAAAATTTGAAATTTTTTGCGTATAAAGAGGAAGGTTAGGAGCTCATTTTCCCAAAATTTCAAATTTTTCCAGTGGAAAATAACAATATGAAAAATCTTGAAAATCAACCTACAATAACTGAATTAATTGAAAATACAGTTTCACACATTTCAGAGTATTCCTGGAAAACTAGTGAATGAAAAATTTTGAAACTTTTTGTATGTAAAGAGGAAGGTAAGAAGATCATTTTCACGTAATTTCAAATTTTTTTAGGGGAAAATAACAACATGAAGAATCTTGGAAATCAACCTAGAATAACTGAATTAATTGAAAATACAGTCTCACACATTTCAGAGTTTCCTGGAAAACTAGTAAAAGGAAAAATTTGAAACTTTTTGTATGTGAAGAGGAAGGTTAGGAGCTCATTTTCTCAAAATTGCAAATTTTTCCAGCGGAAAATAACAACATGGAGAATCTTGGAAATCAACCTACAATAACTGAATTAATTGAAAATACAGTCTCACACATTTCAGAGTTTTCCAGGAAAACTAGTAGAGGAAAAAATTTGAAAGTTTTTGCATGTAAAGAGGAAGGTTAGGAGCTCATTTTCCCAAAATTTCAAATTTTTCCAGCTGAAAATAACAACATGAAGAATCTTGGAAACACTCACACATTTCAGAGTTTTCTTGGAAAACTAGTAAAGGGAAAATTTTGAAAGTTTTTGTATGTGAAGAGGAAGGTTAGGAGCGCATTTTTTCAAAATTTCAAATTTTTACAGTGGAAAATAACAATATGAAGAATCTTGGAAAGCAACCTACAAAAATTGAATTAATTGAAAATATAGTCTCACACATTTCAGAGTTTTCCTGGAAAACTAGAAAAGGGAAAAATTTGAAATTTTTTGCGTATAAAGAGGAAGGTTAGGAGCTTATTTTCCCAAAATTTCAAATTTTGCCAGTGGAAAATAACAATATGAAAAATCTTGAAAATCAACCTACAATAACTGAATTAATTGAAAATACAGTCTCACACATTTCAGAGTATTCCTGGAAAACTAGTGAAGGAAAAATTTTGAAACTTTTTGTATGTGAAGAGGAAGGTTAGGAGCTCATTTTCCCAAAATTGCAAATTTTTCCAGCGCAAAATAACAACATGGAGAATCTTGGAGATCAACCTACAATAACTGAATTAATTGAAAATACAGTCTCACACATTTCAGAGTTTTCTTGGAAAACTAGTAGAGGGAAAAATTTGAAAGTTTTTGCATGTAAAGAAGAAGGATAGGAGCTCATTTTCCCAAAATTTCAAATTTTAAATAACAACATGAAGAATCTTGGAAACACTCACACATTTCAGAGTTTTCTTGGAAAACTAGTAAAGGGAAAATTTTGAAAGTTTTTGTATGTGAAGAGGAAGGTTAGGAGCGCATTTTTTCAAAATTTCAAATTTTTACAGTGGAAAATAACAATATGAAGAATCTTGGAAAGCAACCTACAAAAATTGAATTAATTGAAAATATAGTCTCACACATTTCAGAGTTTTCCTGGAAAACTAGAAAAGGGAAAAATTTGAAATTTTTTGCGTATAAAGAGGAAGGTTAGGAGCTCATTTTCCCAAAATTTCAAATTTTTCCAGTGGAAAATAACAATATGAAAAATCTTGAAAATCAACCTACAATAACTGAATTAATTGAAAATACAGTTTCACACATTTCAGAGTATTCCTGGAAAACTAGTGAATGAAAAATTTTGAAACTTTTTGTATGTAAAGAGGAAGGTAAGAAGATCATTTTCACGTAATTTCAAATTTTTTTAGGGGAAAATAACAACATGAAGAATCTTGGAAATCAACCTAGAATAACTGAATTAATTGAAAATACAGTCTCACACATTTCAGAGTTTCCTGGAAAACTAGTAAAAGGAAAAATTTGAAACTTTTTGTATGTGAAGAGGAAGGTTAGGAGCTCATTTTCTCAAAATTGCAAATTTTTCCAGCGGAAAATAACAACATGGAGAATCTTGGAAATCAACCTACAATAACTGAATTAATTGAAAATACAGTCTCACACATTTCAGAGTTTTCCAGGAAAACTAGTAGAGGAAAAAATTTGAAAGTTTTTGCATGTAAAGAGGAAGGTTAGGAGCTCATTTTCCCAAAATTTCAAATTTTTCCAGCTGAAAATAACAACATGAAGAATCTTGGAAACACTCACACATTTCAGAGTTTTCTTGGAAAACTAGTAAAGGGAAAATTTTGAAAGTTTTTGTATGTGAAGAGGAAGGTTAGGAGCGCATTTTTTCAAAATTTCAAATTTTTACAGTGGAAAATAACAATATGAAGAATCTTGGAAAGCAACCTACAAAAATTGAATTAATTGAAAATATAGTCTCACACATTTCAGAGTTTTCCTGGAAAACTAGAAAAGGGAAAAATTTGAAATTTTTTGCGTATAAAGAGGAAGGTTAGGAGCTCATTTTCCCAAAATTTCAAATTTTGCCAGTGGAAAATAACAATATGAAAAATCTTGAAAATCAACCTACAATAACTGAATTAATTGAAAATACAGTTTCACACATTTCAGAGTATTCCTGGAAAACTAGTGAAGGAAAAATTTTGAAACTTTTTGTATGTGAAGAGGAAGGTTAGGAGCTCATTTTCCCAAAATTGCAAATTTTTCCAGCGGAAAATAACAACATGGAGAATCTTGGAGATCAACCTACAATAACTGAATTAATTGAAAATACAGTCTCACACATTTCAGAGTTTTCTTGGAAAACTAGTAGAGGGAAAAATTTGAAAGTTTTTGCATGTAAAGAAGAAGGTTAGGAGCTCATTTTCCCAAAATTTCAAATTTTTCCAGCTGAAAATAACAACATGAAGAATCTTGGAAACACTCACACATTTCAGAGTTTTCTTGGAAAACTAGTAAAGGGAAAATTTTGAAAGTTTTTGTATGTGAAGAGGAAGGTTAGGAGCGCATTTTTTCAAAATTTCAAATTTTTACAGTGGAAAATAACAATATGAAGAATCTTGGAAAGCAACCTACAAAAATTGAATTAATTGAAAATATAGTCTCACACATTTCAGAGTTTTCCTGGAAAACTAGAAAAGGGAAAAATTTGAAATTTTTTGCGTATAAAGAGGAAGGTTAGGAGCTCATTTTCCCAAAATTTCAAATTTTTCCAGTGGAAAATAACAATATGAAAAATCTTGAAAATCAACCTACAATAACTGAATTAATTGAAAATACAGTTTCACACATTTCAGAGTATTCCTGGAAAACTAGTGAAGGAAAAATTTTGAAACTTTTTGTATGTAAAGAGGAAGGTAAGAAGATCATTTTCACGTAATTTCAAATTTTTTTAGGGGAAAATAACAACATGAAGAATCTTGGAAATCAACCTACAATAACTGAATTAATTGAAAATACAGTCTCACACATTTCAGAGTTTCCTGGAAAACTAGTAAAAGGAAAAATTTGAAACTTTTTGTATGTGAAGAGGAAGGTTAGGAGCTCAGGTTAGGAGCTCATTTTCCCAAAATTGCAAATTTTTCCAGCGGAAAATAACAACATGGAGAATCTTGGAAATCAACCTACAATAACTGAATTAATTGAAAATACGGTAATTGTTTAGTATATCCCCAACACCCAATTTGGACTGAATTTCCTACAATATGATTAAATTAGGTTGCAGATAGATAATTTCTACTAAAATAATTTGGCGCAAATGATTTATAAATCTAAAAAAACACGTTTATATAAAATATACGTTGGGTATTTATTAAATTATTAGCCCTAACTAAATATTTAGTATATCCCCAACACCTAACATTGACATAATTTTGAGGTTTAGCACGCAAATCGGGGAAAGGTTATTATTAACGGGCTAGCCCGTTAAGAGATTGTTCTCTGTTAGAGATAGAGCTCAGTAAAGAGTTGTTGACAATTCAAAATATCATAAAAAATGTTGTAGCAACAATTTCTTCATACAGTCATAGTAAGATTTGTACTGACGTTGCCTGACAAAGTTAATTTAGTTATAGAGTAGCGTCCCTGGAGCTCGCTTTGTTTTTCAAATAAAATGCTAACTTACCAGGACTAGATTGCACTAGACGGACGGGTTATTTCGGGTTAGTTTGAGTAAGTCTAGATTTTCTCGATCATTATTGATTCAAATTGATGCGTCGCTCTTTTGTTTAGAGGTCGCCGTTTCAAATGTCGCTGTTTCAAATTTTGTTCTTTTCATAATATGTCGCTGTTTTAAAGTATTGTGCTTTTGAATGTCGCTCTTTTGATATGTCGCTGTTTTGCTTAGATGTCGTCGTTGAATATGTCGCTCTTTTGATAAGTTGCTGTTTTGATTTGTCATTCTTTTTAAATGTCGCTGTTTTGAATGTTGTCAAAATGAGACCGCCATTTTGAATATCGCCGTTTTGAATATCGTCCTTTTCAACCGGAGCCGTGAATTATTTGTTCAGGAGTTATTGGTAGTTGTAGTTTTGTTAATTGAATAAATGTTTGTTGTTTATAATAAATATCCAAATAAATATTTTTTTAATTTACAAGTACTTAAGTACCGTGAGATCCACTAATGATTGATTTTTTTTAACTAGCTGAGCGCCACGCACGAGGCAAGTAGCTCTACTAGGCAGTGATTGGTTTTTCAATCGTTTTGCATGTTTGTCAATGTTGTGTGTTGGGGATATACTAAATATTTAGTTAGGGGTAATTATTTAATAAACCACCAACATATATTCTATCTTATGATCTTATGAAACATTTTTTTTATATAGGTATTTGCTTATAAATCATTTGCACCAAATAATTTTAGTTGAAACTACATATCTATTTAGACACTAATTTGATCATATTGTACAAAGTTAGGTGTTGGGGATATATGAAACTGTTACTTAGGGGTAATTATTTAATAAATCCCCAACATTTATTTTATATAAACATTTTTTTTTTTTTCATTTATAAACCATTTGCGCCAAATAATTTACGTTGAAGTTATCTATTTAGACACTCATTTAATCATATTTTACAAAATTTATTCAAAATTAGGTATTGGGGACATATGAAACTGTTACCGAAAAGGTATACAGTCTCACACATTTCAGAGTTTTCCTGGAAAACTAGTAGAGGGAAAAATTTGAAACTTTTTGTATGTGAAGAGGAAGGTTAGGAGCTCATTTTCCCAAAATTTCAAATTTTTTCAGTAGAAAATAACAACATGAAAAATCTTGGAAATCAACCTAAAATAATTGATTTAATTAAAAATAGAGTCTCACACATATCGAAGTTTTCCTGGAAAACTAGTAAAGGGAAAATTTTGAATCTTTTTATATATGAAGGGGAAGGTTGGAAGCTCGTTTTCCTTAAATTTCAAATTTTTAAAACACAATGTATTATAATATTTGCTGTAATAAACAACCCATTACCTAAGCATTTTTTTCAATTACTGCTTAGTAATCATGATTATTTTCCTGCTACTGTGTTATTTGCACATTATTTCAACCCAAAATTTGTTAATATTTCCAGGTAAAGCTGCATTTTTTGTTCAAGGTGCATTAATATTTTACACATAATCAATTCAGGTACCAAATGGTGCGGTCCAGGAAACAGGGCGAAAAGTTACGACGACTTAGGCCCGGCCAGAAGGAGCGACTTTTGCTGCAGGGATCACGATCATTGTCCGGAATTCATTAGAGCTGGCGAAAGTGGATTTGGTTTGAATAATACTGGACTTTTTATAAGGTAATATATTCACTATAACTTGTTCAAAAAATGTTACCCAAAAAATCTATTTCAGATTACATTGCGATTGTGATGAAGCCTTTTACAATTGCCTGAAATCCTCAAAAAGCCTAACTTCCTGGCAACTAGGCAACATCTACTTTAATTCAAGACCGAAATCGATCTGCTTCAAGAAAGATTATCCTATAATCAGCTGCAACAGCTTTATTAAAGTAGGCCTAAACTATAGATGCTTGGATTACATTTTAGACCCAACAAACCCCAAAAAATACCAATGGTTTGATCATCCTAAATACTAAAACTTACAATTCGGTTTTGGTAACTTTTTCCAAAGCTTTAAACTCTCTGGTATTCAATGTTCCATATATGAAACACAATTTGGCTTCAAGTACTGCAGGATATAGTTTGGGCATGTACTTTTCTAGGACTTTGTAGTAGCATAACCCGTATTTCATTGTTTCAATGGGTTTTTCTAGAAAAAATATACATATACAACATAAATTATTATTAAGTAGTTTGTTATTACCTCCCCAAGTGTAAAATTTATCAAATAAAAGCTTGTAGAGGTCCATAAGGACCCAAGAATCACATGGGAATATTTTAGTGCAACTGTCTAATACTCGTAGAATTGGTTCGATATTGTAAGTTGATTTGTCTGTAAATAATTATTAAATTAATTCAATTTATTATTATAAACTAATGCAATACAATGAACCTACATAATTTACCAGCAATTAGTGCAGACTTTTCAGCTTTGTGATCGATAAAGGAAAACGAGGTACAATTTTTACAATACAGTTTCTCCTCTCCATTATTTAAAGTCATTTTTTTGGCTCTACCTAAAGCACATGACCTGCACTTGAACGGATACTCTTGCTGAAACATTTCAATAATAATTACAATTAAATAATTAATAAATTTAGCGAGGGAGTAACCACTCAGTAAATATGGTGTACAAAAACTGTAATTTTTTGTAAATTTTTAGTAATTTTTAGTAATTCTTGGTAATTTTTGTTGGTTTTTCAATAATTTTCCAGTAATTTTTTATAAATTTTGAAGGGTATTTTACAAAAACGTTTCTAAAAAAATTATTCTGGAAGTTTTGTGGAAATTTTCTCATGACAAAAGCAATCGTACATAAAATCTATACCGGCGCCGGCGTGGGTCAATGCTTGAGCTCAAGCCAATGAAAAGAAAACAAAATAAAACGGATTTTTTATATTTATCGTCAGTTAAGAAAAAAGGGTCGGAACTGTTGATTTCAAATGTGGGGGGAAATTTTTTGCAAAGAATTTTAACTCAAGGCTTAGGGGATACCTATACGTCGCGTCGTATACGAAAAATTGTAGGTACGGGTGAAGGGTGAAACCATAGATAAGTGTGGAGCTCACCCCCCTAGGGGATGGTAGCAATGGATTGGAGTGATAGTGTTGAAAATACGCACAAAAGTGTTCCCCGTGATAGAAAAATTGACGATAACATATCAATACGGCTGGAAATCCCTAATTACCGGAAGGCGGTCTTCATTGACAACAACGTGTGGTTTTTGCTTTAAAAACTGAAACTCCACGTAAAATTGAAAATTGAATAGACCTAGACCTATCTATTTTTACAAGAGCTTGGTGGTAGCTCCCAAACAATTTATATGCGACGTTGCCATTTTTGGCATTTTCATGTTTGGACTGGAATCAGCGCCACGCCACGCCACCACAGTTGTTCATTATTATTATCCCGGGCCTTTTGAGTTTTGAGTGGACACAGAATATAATATTCTTTCATAATTCGATTATACTGCTTATGATTGAATGAATTGAAAATTGAATAAAATTGAAGCTATTTACAAATTTTGTATTTTGAAGCACTAGTGCAGGCAGCTGCCTTTTGGTTGGATTGGAGTCGAACTGGAAACTCGTTTGTTCTCCTATACAGGGCGGAAAATTTTTTCATATCAAATTCGGAAAAAAATATTTATTTTTCCAAGTACGGGAAATACCATAGCCGCTTTCCAGTATGCACATTGGCGCGCTCTAGAGCACTCCGGGGGTGCGTTCAAGGACGGCAACGCTAATGTCAAAACCTACTTTTCCCCCTCCACTGGCAATGCCGAACCACATAGGTTGGAGCCGAACTCGAACGCAAACTGCTAATTTTGGCTTGGCTGTAGCCATTCCTGAACGCAGCCCGGGAGCGCCACGCACTAGATTTGTACCGTTCGTATCATGACGCATGACGTTTGTCCGTACGTATAGCTCGGAAGTTCAACGCTCCGGGTAGATCCGAGTGTCACACTCCCGTACTGGAAAGCGGCTCTTTTCTCGCAAGTGTTAAACCTAGTACTCATAACAGCGAAATTCGCTCTTTTTTAACATTCCTTCGACAATTTGACGTTCTATGCGTGAATCAAACGTCAAATTGTCGAAGCAATGTCAAAAATGAGCGAATTTCGCGGTTATGAGTACTAGGCTAGGCTAGTACTAAGGAACACAATTTTTCTCGAGGGTGTGCGGAAAGATTACTCTGTTGTGCATGCCAAAAGTTTTTTTTCCGCACATTCGTAGGAAAAAAACGAATCATCTTAGTTTCAGGTTTCAGGTCTCTACAAAATGACAGAGATTATCCTGTTTTCAATCCCTAGTAGGACTACTTATTGAGCTAAAAGTCTCTACACTGCTATGTCAGCTGCATAGCTCAACTTTTGGAGTGAAATTCCTAAACGTTAAAATCTTGTTGCAATCACCTTTTCTATATTTAAAACATTCAAAATCGACAAAAAAATCAAATAACGAGCACAGCCTGAATCGAAAGCCTTCGATCGAGGTCTGCGGGTGACGTCATCACTATTAACATCTGTGGCGACGTGACTCGCAGACCCTGCCTGCTCAAGAATTGGTGAACCTACGCCTTATTAGAAAGAGCAATCCTCTTTACGATTGTTGTCAGGGCCGATCCTAGCAGGTGTGCAGCGCGTGCCCCGCACGCGGGCGTCCAAATTTAGGGGCGGCCGCAGGCCGCCTATAATTTTGTCATTCAAGATTCAAGTAATACTTTTTACGAATTTCTAAAAATAAAACTACTTCTAATAAAGAAATAAGCTGAACTTTAAAAAACTCCTGAAAAATTAAAATAAACCCCGATCTCCTGATAGCATAAATAGAAAATTTAGTGCACAATGTGTAGGCTCACGCATAATGTTTTAACTCTGTAGACATCAAAGCTGGGCAAGCTACTTGGAAAAAGTAGCTAGCTACAAGCTACAAGCTACTTTATATTGTAAGTAGCTAAGTTACTCAGTAGCTCAACTACCTCTTTGAAAAAGTAGCTAAGCTATTAGTAACTTAACTACATTTTGAATTAGTGAAAGCTACTATTTAAGCTACTTTTATCAATGTACATGGTACCTAATTTAATTTCATAATATCGTCATACGAAAATAACATATTAACTTTCTCTAAGAAGTAGTATTCATATTTTTGTCAAAAACCATTGGACATTAATTTATTAGCTTCACTTTGATCACAGTGATCTGCGAATGCGAGAATAAAATAGGACACATAAAACATAGGTACCTACAGAAATAACTAGAAACTAGTCTAAGCAAGGCAAGATAAGAATTTTCGGCTCAACTTTCGTTTAGCTGAAATCAGGTATATAAGAGATGTTGTTACAGTTGTTTTCAGAAAGTCTTCCTTTTATCAGACACACATAAATTTTTCTGCGGAAATGCGTCATTTCCATTTTCCGGACTTTAGAATAGCTGAAATCAGTTACATGGAAAAAATTGTTTGCTTTGCATTTTTAACATTTTTCTGAATATAAAAACACAAAAACTTTCCTGTGGAAATAAGCTGTTTCCAATTTTCGGAGTAAATTCATCAGAATTTAGAATAGTTGAAATCAATTGCGTGAAAAATTGATGTTCCTTTCCTTTGCATTTTAAAAAAATTCCTGAACATGAAAATGTGAAAATTTTATTGCGGAAATACGTTATAACTATTTATTTGTTTGGGCAATCGAATCACTATGGCGGCTTAGTTCAAACAGTGAAATTGGCGCCACAAGGATTCTTTTCACCTTCGACGAACCTTTACCCCTTTACTAAACTGTTGGATTTTAGCATATTTCCAAACTTTTGAAATTTTGCACTAACAACTTCTCAAGATAGGGACTCTCCATTCTAAAATACGAATTTTCTAGAAAATTAATACTTTACATCAATTTAAAACCGCTATTCAGAGAAAAAAACAATAAAAAGTTGCATAAACAAACTATATTATTACTACACCATAAGCGTTTTCTCGCGTCTCAAATGTTTCAAAACATTTTTCAAAGCTGGTTTAAGTTATGTCACCATGACGTCATAATTTCTCGGCGCGAGAACATGATTTGAAAACGTGGATTGGATTGTATTTGGAAACGGTTTGAAACAAGTTTCACGTGACGTCATGGGTTTATCGCGAGAATGTACTGTTTCAAAACAGTTTTGCACCAGTTTCAAAAAAGTAGACGCGAGAAAACGCCCCATGTCTAGAATTCATATATCTAAACCTAATACTCATTATTTTTTGTTCGTCAATTCGTCAGCGGTAGTTTGCTTTGTTTTTCTAAATTCAATACATGTAAGTACTAGTACGCATTATGTGGACGGGTTAGTTTGGGCTAGTTTGCATTTGCTTTGTTTTTCTAAATTCAATACATGTAAGTACTAGTACGCATTATGTGGACGGGTTAGTTTGGGCTAGTTTGCATATTTTTGGTTAGTTTCGTTACATTTCATTTAATACTGGTTATAAGTGTACTGGACTACTGGTTAATAACAAAGCGCGCGAAGCGCACTGTTTATTTTCTAAATTCAATACATGCAAGGACTAGTACGCATTAAGTGGACGAATTAGTTTGGGCTAGTTTGCATATTTTTGGTTAGTTTCATTACAGTTCATTTATTACTGGTTATAAGACAAGTGTACTGGACTACTGGTTAATAACAAAGCGCGCTCGCTGTTTATTTCCTAAATTCAATACATGCAAGGACTAGTACGCATTACGTGGACCGGTTAGTTTGGGCTAGTTTGCATATTTTTGGTTAGTTTCGTTACAGTTCATTTATTACTGGTCATAAGACAAGTGTACTGGACTACTGGTTAATAACAAAGCGCGCGAAGCGCGCTGTTTATTTCCTAAATTCAGTACATGCAAGGACTAGTACGCATTACGTGGACGGGTTAGTTTGGGCTAGTTTGCATATTTTTGGTTAATTTCGTTACAGTTCATTTAATACTGGTTATAAGTGTACTGGATTACTGGTTATAGGCTTTTTACGTTATATTTAGGATGACGTCACATTTAGTAAATTTCTGCTGCCAACCTAACAAAACTAAAAGTACTTTTTAACGCATTTAAAGTAGGGCAATTTCAGATGTTTTTGGTTGGCAACAGCGCGCGACGTTGCATGATTTATATAAACATTTTCAAATAATGCGTGTCGATTCATTTCGTTATTTTAAGCTTAATAATTTATTATTAACTATTTTGTATAGGTAATTCTAGTTAAGTGCCAAAAATACGTTACAGTTAGAAAAAAGTTCTTTCAAGAATTCAGTACTTCTTCGTAGCGTAAACTTACTCAGAAAATGCCAGCAAGTTTCTCGGAGTCGGCCTCAGGAAAGGGTAGTATACTTAATAACGTATTTCCAGCAGGAACGCGACCATTTTTGCTTCTTACTGCTGTGAGGCATGTAAGTAAATTACCTATTTTCCGTTTCGTTTGACAGAAAAGACCTAATCTATTTTTACCTGGTATGCGCGCGCAACATGAGGCAAGTCTTTTTATTAGCTAACTAGTACAGGTGTGAAGTCTTCGTTTTGCACGCTGGACATCT